GCCCCAGCCCCAGGCCGAGCGCTGAGCTTGGGCAGTGCCGGCGGCTCCGAGGGGCGGCAGAGGCGAGGCGGCAGCTGGAGCGCTCGGGTCCCTGGTTGCCTTCTCATCCGCCCAGACCCTTCCTCGCCCCGTCTGACCCCCAGGATCCTGTAGCGTCAGCGTCGCCTCTTGCCCTCAAGAGAGGTCCACATCTCCACGACAAGACTGGGACAACTGGGGGTGACAGGAGGGACAGAAGCAGCCAGACGTCTTCTGCACTCCGACAGCTGCCGATGTGGTGCTGAAGAACCACATCAGCACCCCGTGCCTCAGTTTCCCCGCAGGACTTCCACCTTGCTGCCACTCTGGCCTTCCTGGCCAGGAGGGATGGGGACAAGTTCCCTCCAGCCCCAGCGCTAAGGGACAAGCGGCACCACGATGCGCTGGCAGGCTCTCCCCAGGGAGACATCACCAGGCATCAGTATTGCAGGGGGGTTGCTCGCTTTGTAGTAACTGGCAACAAAGATAAACACCCAGGAAGAGCAATATTTTTCCATGTGGGCTGGAGGAGATTAATATTTTATCACTCGGAGCACAAAATATTTATGAACAATTTCATGGCAATCACTGGCTGAGGAGGAGTCTCCACCTTTGCGAGACAGGGAGGACACCCTGGGCGCATGGGCAGGTGGCTCCTGTCCCCATTTCCCTCCCCATGGGGGAGCAGCCCCATTTAGGGGCCACCACAGCCAACCTGCGGACGGATGAGCCCTAGGTTATCAAGGGGAAACTGAGGCACCAGAGAAGAGCTTAGCAACGGGGTTGGGCAAGGAATGTGGGCCAAGAGGGTGCTCTGACTCCCAGGCATTGCTGCAGGGCGCTGCGGCAGGTGAAGTGACGCCATCTCGGCCGCTTTCTCCACCCTCTGGGGGTGAAATTGTTCGTGGTCACCTGCTCCTCTTCCAGGGCCCACTCCGCACCCAAACTCGTAACTCACCACATATTCCTCCTCCTCCACCCCCTGCAGCACCCCACAGAGCAGCGGGGCGCCTGGGGCTGCCGCAGATGCCACCAGTGCCTCTCGCGACCCAGGCAGGTCCCACTCACGGCCAAACCCCATCAAGGAAGGCGAAAAGAACAGTAGGGGGGCACGGCCGGGCCTAGCCCGCCATGAGCTCGGTGTAGCCACACGAGCGCATTTTTAACTCCCGCTCAGTTTTCAAGCCCCAAGGAGAAATTCTCCTCCAGCAAAAGTGTGCCCCAGCTCAGCACAGCTGATGTGACCCCCTCATCGCCCACAAGCAGCTCCAGAAAGCACTTGCTTTTCCGGCTCCTTGTTTCCAGCCCTTCAGTGAAGGTAAGGATGACCCATAGGCCATCAAGGGCAGTGCCAAGTGTCCAAGCTCTCTCCTCCTTGCACTGCATCCATCTTGCGGAGCACCAGGAGGGTACAGGAGCCTGGCCATACACAGGAAAGGAGGGGACACCCAGCAGGGGACAGCCCAGAAGTCCTGGGCCTGGAGCCTGCAGCCCATGATGGGGAAGACAGTTAATAACCCCAGCGGCCACCTCGGAGGATTAGCATCCACTTTATTACAGATTCCAGAAGCTCCCATGGCGGTTTCAGGAGGACAGTTTTACACCGGATGTTTCAATTTCCAGCAAAGAAAAGAGAAGTAGGTGGCAGAGGGGACAAAATCAACCAACCCTATTCATTGCTCTTTGGTGCTAGAAAACACACACCCGTGTGACGGAGAAACAGGCTGCAGGGGAGAGAGGGGCCTCGGCAGAGAGAGCAGACAGAGGGGAACCCGTGCCCTGCACCCACACACACACACACACACCCAGCTCTGCCACAGAGACTTTGCACCTAGAGTCGCCTAAACTGCAGCTGCGTGTTGCTGCCCACCAGCCCGTGCCTACCCCAGCACCCCCTAAGCGTTGCAGGAGACCCGCTGCCTCCCAGCTCCAACACCGTGGCTCAACCAACTGTCCTGGTAACATTCAAACACCGTTTTTTTTTTTTTTTTTTTTCTCTGCAAAGAAGGAGAGCAAGTCCCAGGAAGAATCAGTAACTTAAATCTCTTGGCTGGAGAAGAAGGAGACAGGAAAGACGGCCAGTTCTCGGTACTTCGGATCCCTACGGAAGGTGAGGAAGCCAGGTCTCTGCTTCACTCCTCACCTCTCTCAGCAGCAACAGGCTCCTTGGTCCACTTGCCTGCGACCTCCTGGTCTTCTGCATAGCCCAAATCAGGCAGTAGGCCTGGGGCTCCCTCCCCGTCCCCTGTGACTTCTAGGTCTAGCTCCTCGAAGGAAGAGCCGCTGGCTCCGGACTCGCTGTAGCTGTGCTCGCTCCGATTGTCGGCCTCTTCCCGGCCCCGGCTAGCTGGGAATGGAGACAGGATGGAGGTGGCCACTGAGGTGTCTCTGCTGCCAGTTGTGGCCTCCAGGCTGACAGAGCTGGTCTCGCTCATGGTGTCGGCCCCTGGGACAAAGAGAGAAGGGGAGGAAGTGAGTTGGGGCAAAGAAGGGATGCTACGGGTCTGGCTGATCCAGTGCTATGTGTTTTTGAAGCCATCAAAAACCTTAGAAACACCAGCAAAGCAACAGGCCACAATGAAGGGCAACATCTCCCTCTCATCTTCTCCCGTGCCTGCAGGCAACCAGCGGGGCCAAGACAAGTGTGAGCACCCTGGGATGGGATGTTGGGTGCCTGGTCCTTGATGCTGGACTCAGGAGAGAGGCACTGAGAAGCAGCAGTCGGGAAAGCAAGACCCGCCGCAGTGCCTCGGGCCGCCAGCAATCCCGTCTCGGAAGGGCTGTCTTGTTCCGTGAGCACCAAGTGAGGCGGGGGCACGCAGGGGGAAGGCAGTCCACACTCAGGTCCCTGGACACGTTGAAGTCGGATCGAGCCAGATACGCAGCCTTCATCCCAGGCCCTCCTCTGTGCCCATTTTGGCACGTAAGAGTTGGTATAACTCATCCATCACTCCTCTCCCAGATGCTCAAATGGGAGTAACGGGGAGCGCCGTTGCTCACAACGTGCCTACGCTATGACAGCAATAAGCACCAGACAAACCTGCTGAGACACTGCCCTACCCGCAGCCCCAGCGGCGCCCACCCTGCTGATCATCTCCCACAGCCCCTCCGCGCAGCTGAGACCCAGCCCTCTCATCACCCAGGGCAGTTCAGCTGCCAGCACAGCGACATGGGGCCCCTACAAGAGCAGCCGCAGGCCCGACGCCTCCAGAGAGACGTTCTCCAAAGCCAGGGAGAAGCACTGAGAGCCAAAAGGCGCCTGCTCTTCCGGATGCACGGCCAAGGGGGACAGTGCTTGGAGGATGGCTGAGCACTGGGGCTGCAGCTGCCTTGCTCCGAACCTCCCCGCAGGCAGCCCGTGAGCCAGAGCGCCCCGAGAACGCAGCCTCTGGGCCTCCAGAGAACACGCAGGAAAGCCCAGGGCAGGGGGAGCAGGGGCACAAGGGCTCACAAGGTGGAGAAGCCGGTGGCCCTCACCCGTCCCTTCTGCCTGGACCAGGAAAGCGCAGGGAGCGGCTTCGCTTTCCCTCCGCAAACGCCCAGTCCTTCTGCCCCACGTTTCTGCTTTCCTCGCATGGGCCCACGCTGTTCAACACAACGGTCCTGCCTTCCCGCGCGCCCAGGAGAGACGGAGGGATGGACCAAGGTGACTGTCCCTGAGGGTAACAAGGCCCCACAGCACTTGGCACTCCCGCCCAGGGCGGCCACTAGCACCAGCCTCCTTCCCAGCCCTCAAGGGCAGCCGGCGCAGCCCGCTCCGGGCTCGAGGACGGAGGGGAGCAGAGTGCAAGCACTGATCGGCCTTCCCAGCCGGATGGACATTCCCACATCACGGGGCCCAAAAACCCTCCTGCCTGTCACATCATGAGGCGCCTGGGCCCAGCCCAGCTCCCGCCTTGGCACATCTAGCCAGACCCCTCTGGGCACCACCTCCTCCCAGCAGATCGTTGCCTCCTGGCTTGGTCAACAGCACCAAGTTGGTGTTGACAGCGACAACTGTGTCAGAGGAAGAACAGCAGCTCAGTGCTGTTGCCAGAGCAACCAGCTGGGAGACAAAGCTTTCCTCTAAAACATTAATCATCATTAATTACAACTTCCCAGAGTTATGACAACAGCAGCAAATATTGGGTGGCCTTTCTGCAGCAGAAGATGCCTGTCCTTTCACCTGGTGTCACTCCCTTCCCTATCCTCTTCCTCTGTGGAGGAGCTGCCTGGAAGCACATGCTGTGCTTGGGCTGCCTTCTGGCTCCACTATCACCTCCGCTTGTTCCTTCTCCTAGGGGTAAGGACTACACCAGGGTGGAAAATCAGGCCATGCAACGCTCCCATTCCAAACCTAGGAAGGGAAAACGGGGAATAACACCTGCAAGGGCCTGGGGAACCTTGGCAGGCACTGCTCAGCACGGTGGTTGCTCAGCAATTCTCGCGGTGCGCTCAGGAGTAATGCTGGAAGAGGCCTATGGGTTTGCCAGGACGAGCAAAGCTCCTCTCCGAGCACACGCTGCCTTGGGGACAGCAGAGCTCGGGGCACATGGATACGGAGGCAGCAGCAAGAACTTCACGGAAACGTGAGGGGCTGCAAAAAAGGCGAGGAAAGCACTGGGCAATGCTGAGACACTCACTCCTCACAGCACAGTCAGAAGCAGCTCCATCTTCAAACACGGGCCCGTGCAAGAGGAAGGGGTTTCCTGCAGGGATCATTGGCCTCCCCAGATGCCCAGCATTAAAACCCTCTGCCTGTTCTCCGTCTTGGCAGCAGGAGCTCTGTCTTCTGGAGGGAAGGATTCATCTTCCAAACGCTTTGCATTGCCACATATTCTTTGCTGTTTGTGCTTCTTGGCATGGTCGGCTGCCAAGAGAACTGCTTGGAAATGGCAGCACTTTCCCTTCTGAGCAGCAGCAGCAGCATCCCACAGTCCCACCTTCACAGCGAGAACACCTTGGAGAGGACCAAGCAGCAACAGCAGGACTGGGCACATTTGGGAAAGGCACAGTAGAAAAAGCAGAGACGCTCACGGATCAATCCTGCCTTCACCCTGCCCTTGCAGACCCGCAGGAGAGGAGCTTGGCCAGTTCTTAGCTGGGGCCAACACTAGGAAAAGAAGAGGAGACACTGTGGTGTTCCCTCTCCCATCTCTGCCAGGGTTCACAGGACAGGGCCCGTGCTTGAACCCAGACGGGTCTGAATTTCAGCAGGTGCCAGGAGCTGAACAAAGCGCCCAGCTTTCCAAACGAGAAGTGCTCAGAAGATACTCACTGAAGGGGAAGAAGGAAACGGCGGCCCTGGAACTGCCGCACATTTGCTACAAGATCAGGAAGAGCCTTAACACAGAAACCACATTTGCTCTAAGTTGAAAAGGATGTTTTGTGTGCTGCTGGCTAGGCGCTCACTGAAGGAGACCTCGGGCAGCCGGGAATCGTGCCGGCACGGGAGGCAGAGAGCCAGGGGCTCCTCTGCTCACTGCAGCAAACAGCAGGGTGGCAGCTCAGCTGAGACCCTCTAGAAAGATCCAGAGCACAAGGAGCTCTGCATTCAGCAGGCATCAAACAACAGCCGTGTCAGGCAAACATCTGAAGGGACCTGCGAAGCAGCCAGCAGCAGAGGCTCCTGTCTCTGCTGTTGGCCTGCTGGTTTGGGCAGCTTGGGCTCACCCAAAAGGAAGCATCGGGAAAGGCTCACAAGACCAGAAAGCAGAATTCTAGGGCTCATAGCAGATTTCCAGCAAACGGGTCAAACCAATAGGCACCATAAAACATGTCGCCCCACACATCTGCGGGCGCTGACTTAGGTGGTCGGGCCGGGGCGGGCAGGGTCCTTGCAAGGAAGGACACACTCGGGCTGCAGGGCAGACAGGCAAAGCAATAGCCTGGGCAGGCAAAGCACTCGCTGCTGTTTCCTTTCCAATAAAGCCTTAGAATTCCTGAGCCCGGCCAAGGGGTTTTAACCTGCTAGCGAGGACCTCAAAAGATGAAGCAGAGCCAAAGAATGGCTGCAGCTCCAGTGCTTTGAGGTCACACAGACCCCATCCCTCAATGACTCACAGGCGACAGGGCAAAGCCCAGCAGAGCTTCCACACCAAAGCTCTCACTGCTTGTGTTTGTCACACATGGGCCCGGGTTCGTCACACATGGTCCCTCAAGAACCCGGGCCCAGAGTGAGCCAAGCCTTTCTGTGCCGGCACTGTATTCATCCTGGATTAAGGAGAGGGCAGGTCTAGCTGAAGAGCTGTCATGTAACCACACACTAAAAAACAAGGGAAGTCTTGAGGAGACAAGCACCAGCTTTGCAAGCTAAAAGACACGGATAAAGCTGACCTACGCTTGCAGTCGCTCTGCTCTAAACCGACTTCACAGGAAAACGCCGTTGTTCTCCCCCCCAGCAGCCTTGTCTCTCTTCTGCTCCGAGGGCGACAATAAATAGATTCATGTTTCCTTTTAGCCAGGCACTTTTTCACCGCTCTGTCACTTTTCATCATGTTTGAGCAGCCTCAGCTGGCAAATCTGCCCATTTCAGCAGCCCCGTTCCCTCTGCGCAGGACGAGGCTCGCTCCGGTAGAGCCTCCCTCCCTGCCCGGCCAGCGAGGCACAGCAGCACAGGGGCCAAAAAGCACAGGGGTAAGAGAAGGAGCCATTTGCTCTCGTGGAAAATGCAAGTCACCTTTAGCAGGAGGCCGTGGCATGAGCCCACGTACATTCCAGCAGATTTACAGCTCCTGGATCCAACAAGGCTTCTCCCCATGGCACGCAGCTAGGTGGAAGCAAACGGTTCCATCAAAACGCTCTTATTTATTCTGCTTCCTGCAAAGGCAGCCCGGCCTGCTGCAACAGGTTCCAGGTCAGGAATACAGAACCTAAAACGCTTTTCTTTGTGAGAGAGAGAGACAAGTTTTGGCTTGCCAGATGCACAGACTCCTAAGCACAGCTCTAGAGACAACCTAACTGAACCCCGAGGACTTGACTTATTATTATTAACAAAGTGCATATTGTATTAATGCTAGGGCTTTGCCCAACCTGGAAAGCATAAGATGGCTCATCCACAGGAGCACAGTGTGTTCTGAGGATCAGGAAAGCTAAATGCAAGTGAAAACATTGAAGTATGAGGCTTGAAGTCAAACTACGTCTGCTTGGGATTCTTCTTCCGGGCAGAGAAAGGGCCAGTCCGACAGCAGCGGAGACTTTGCAGGTCCAAAGTAACAGGCAGCTAGGACAGGTCAGATGGGACAACGGCTTGGTAGGAATTGGCCACACATCTGGAAGAAGGGGAACTTCTCCCTGAAGAGCTCACTGCCTTGGAGAGGGCAGAGCAGCCAAATGGATGGAGTAGCCCGTGGCACTGACTTGGCTGGCACTGGGGTTTCAATTGCCATGGCTGCTACAACGCTGAGATGCCTAAGAAGCAGCAACAACAGGAGGCAGGACATCAGCCAGGAGAGAGGAGCAATGGCC